TTAAATTTTTAGTATTTTATTCATAAATAAAATATTTATATCAATATTTTAGTTTTTAGTGTTTTATATCTATTTATATTTGTTTTATTTAGACATTATTTGTAGAAAATCTTTATATCTGACATTTACTGGTTATTGAACCTAATTTTAATAACTGTGCATCAGTGTTATCATCAAATGACGGTGATATTATCACACATACTTTTCCAAATAACTTGAATAGTTGGTTGTCTATTCTCGGTGTCATATGAGATGGATGCCCTCCTCTCTCTCATCACCTCATCACTGTCAAGGTGAGACCTAAACATCTACTCAGTGGTTCAGTCTTGTCGTCCTTTAAACTGTGAACACATATTCTAAACGTATCGGTTACTTTTCAAAACAAGTTTGTGTGCTGACGGTTGCCCTGCCGTACCTGTAATGTAACATTGGAGAGTCTCTGGGGAAGAGTGGGTCTTTTGTGAAGCTAGGAATCCAGTGGATGTGGGAGAAGCCGACAGGCTTTCTGAATAGCTGTACCAAGCCCTCAGAGCTGCCAGTGGATCAGGTTACGGACTTGAAGAATTTTTAACTGCTTTGTCTGCTGGAAGGACCCGCAGATCTATGGGGGCTCACTATGGGGCCGCAGGCTTTGAGATGGGGCCCGCTGCTCTCTGGGGCTCCATTGACTTCTGTTGAAGTTTGCATCTTCTGCCTAAAAAAAGGAAAGTTGTCCAAACATCTTGTGTTGTTTAGCCTGAATTTTCCTTGCTACTACTGTACAGTGTTTTGATCACTACATGAGTGTCTCATCACTGAGTATGGGTGTTTCTCATACAAAGGAAGTGGTTCCTCTCCTTTTATTATGAAGGAGGTTGGTGGAAGTTTCTGTCTTAGATGTCAGGTATTCTCTAGTTGTTGTGAAGTCACATGTAACACAATTTTGTTGTATGGAAGAAAAAAATACATTTTGATTTGTAAGTAAAAAGTAAAATGCTTTTGGATTAAAATGTATATATTGAGACCTAATTTAGCAACTGTCATGATGCCTTAACCCGAAGGTTGTGGGTTCGAGTCTCGGGTCCGGCAGGAATTGTCGGTGGGGGGAGTGAATAACCAGCACTCTCTTCCACCCTCAATACCACGACTGAGGTGAGACCCTTGAGCAAGGCACAGGACCTCCAACTGCTCCCCGGGCACAGCAGCACATGGTTGCCCACTGCTCCGGGTGTGTGTTCACTACTGTGTGTGCACTTGGATGGGTTAAATGCAGAGCACAAATTCCGAGTATGGGTCTCCATACTTGGCCACACGTCACTTCACTTTTCACTTTCCCCTTCCACTTCACTTTTAGACCTGGATTGATGAGCATTTCTTATTCAGATAATATGTGGATATTTTTTTCCAGTGTGTCTGCAGCATGATTGGATGGAAATCTGATCCTTCTTGTCACACTTGTATGCGGTCTGTGTGTCAACTGAAGCATTTCTGTAATTTACGGTACTTTAAAAACATTGAAAGAATGCATTCAAAATACTTTTGCCATGTCTTGCATTTCCTTTCATTTCAACCCCTCGGAAAATAAAATAAATGAGATTCCAAGTAATTTCTCAGATTTCTCAGTCTGTCAGGGTGACGTGATTTATTTATCAGTTCAACCTTGTTACATATTACACTCTAAAAAATGCTGGGTTAAATACAACCCAGTGCTGGGTAAAATAGGGACAAACCCAGCAATTGGGTTGT